TTATTAAAAATAAAATAATATATTAAATAAAAAAATTAGAATAATAAAGAAAATATATTAAATTAAAACAGAGATGTACTAATCCCGGGAGCTCCGTGTGCTCCTTACACATGAAGGCGGCCTCCTAACTTTTGAATGTTTCTCTAGTCTAGTCTTGGAGCTCAAAAGTATCGGTACTTGTACTCGGTATCTGTGCAACCCTAATATATACGCTATATCACCAAAAGTATCGGGACGCCTTTACACTCAGATGAACTCTAATGGCCTCCCAGTCTTAGTCCGTAGGGTTCAGAATTGGGTTGGCTCCGCCCTTTGCCGCTATAACAGCTCCGCCTCTTCTGGGAAGGCGTCCACAAGGTTTAGGGGCGTGTCTATGGGAATGTTGGACCATTCGTGAGGTCAGGTACTGATGTTGGGGGAGGGGCTCGCAGTCTCCGCCTCTAATTCATCCCAAAGGTGTTCTATGGGGTCAGCCTATCAGCTGACACCACGTGGGAAAGAAACTGATTTTTTAAGAAGGTGCTACTATGTAACTTCCGTGTTTCTCCCACTGGAGGTTAATACGTGTATTTCACATACCGGTGGACACCAAAGGATAATATGTTATATGAAACGTAGACATGTGCACTGCCAAAAAAATCGTTTCGTTTTAAATACGGATTTGTGTTATTTCGTTTTTCAGGATTCGCGTGTGAAAGTCAATTCGGATTCGGAATGCGGATTCGGACGAAATTCGGTAGCGTTCGCACGAACGTTCGTTTCGTTTTCTGTTCTTATTCGTTTCGTTCGTTTGCAGCAAAAGTGACATTTGAGGGGGAAAAAATATTTTTCTCCTTCTCTAATGTCACTTTGCTCCAACGAACGAAACGAATAAGAACAGAAAACGAAACGAACGTTCGTACTAACGCTACCGAATTTCGGAAATGGAAATTCGGATTCGTCTGCATTCGTTATGTCTGTAATTCGGAATTCGGAACGAATCGCACATTTCTAATGAAACGTATTATCCTTTGGTGTCAGCTGATTAGCATATATGAATGAGAGCACAATATACAAACAGATCTGCATACCTGAAGATTTATCATTGTACGTCGTGCTTTTTTTTTTCCAGTGACATGATGTTTATGCCCAAAACTGATTTTTTTTTTAATCTAATAAACTCTTTTTGTAATTGGAATAGTTGTCCCGATCCTCTGTTAACCCTTTTTAAACCAGCCACTCTTGTATGTCCAGACTCCAGAACACTGTATAGTGTGGCACAGCTGTATCCAATTCTGTATACCTGGCTTTATTTATTATAAGTTTTTTTATAATAATATAAAGCCAGGTATACAGAATTGGATACAGCTGTGCCACACTATACAGTGTTCTGGAGTCTGGACATGTGCTCATCTATGTTCCCCACTAGGCACGATAAATATTCATTTCATGTTCTTCATAATATGAAGAAACTGACCTAAAATCATGATTTTGTATCGCTTTAGAAAAAAATGTGACCTGCCCCTTTAAGGAAAAGTATCGGTAATTGGTATCGGTGAGTACTCGGAAAAAAGTATCGGTGCTCGTACTCGGTCTTAAAAAAGTGGTATCGGAGCATCCCTAGTATATATATATATACACTTCATGCCGAGTATTCGGTGTAACTCGTCATCTGAAGATGATAATAATAAAGAAAACATTGAAGCATCGGGTTTTTTTTTCTCTCCTGCTGCTACTCCGGGAAGAGATTCACCCTCCGTGTATCTGGTGATCATTGTCCCCGGGGACTAAAAGGAGAGCGTTCCAAATTTGACAGGAACAGGGGGAGAAATCGTCCAGTGGAGACACCGGCTCCAGCGATAACACGTTAGGATTTCCCCTCACTTTGCACTGAATTACTCTCACTTCCTGTTGTCTCCCCAGGACAGGAAGTGAAGAGAAATCTTTCCAATAGGGGACACAAATGAGAAAAAAAGAAGCAACACGGGAAGTTTTCACCCTCCCCCGCTCCGGCGTTGGCTTTAGGTTCACTTTAGACCAGGGGTAGCCAAACTCCAAAACCTTCAGCTGTGGGGCGGAACTACAAATCCCATGAGGCATTGCAAGACTCTCACAGGCACAGACACGACACCCGGAGGGAGATGCATCGTGGGATTTGTAGTTTCACTCACAGCTGGATTTGAAAAGAACTTTTGTTCCTGTTTCCGGATAATCTGTCACTTCGTCCAATCAGAGACTCAGAAACTGTTACAGTTAAAATTGGGGGAAGTGTGTTACCCTCCCCCGCCGGGGCCCCCTGTGTTCCTCTCATCTGGGGGGACATTAAAAAGCACTTTTTTTGGTATGTCCTCCATTTTGGTCTGTTTTGGATCCCGTAGAAAGTGCAGAAAATACCTGTTGATCCCGCCAGAAATCTCCTCGGCACTTCCTGCGCTTCACTCTCACCGCTGACACTGTTCCCGGCTCTCCTCCAGGACTACAGAACACCCCCCCCCCTGTATGTTATGGAGATGAATGGGGGGAGGGAGGGGTGTTCTGTAGTCCTGTCCTCCGTAGACAGGGAGTGAGCGTTGTCACCCCGGGGACAGGAAGTGTGTCACTGGCAGGATCACCAGGGGACAGTAAAGGAAACGAGTGCCGTGAACGAGGGCGGTGCAATGACGGCCGTTCTCGGGTGCCGATGGCCAGACGCTGACTCATCCTCTCTTCTTCCGCAGGAGGAGGGAGACTCTCCAGCGATCGGCTTCCTGATAAAGGAGACGGACTGCCCCAAATCCGAGGACTGCGACCTGGAGAAACGTGACTACAGGAAGGACGGGGTGAGGAGGCAGGAAATGAAGGGGGTTCTATCTGACTGCAACATGTCAGACCTCTGCAGAGAGGCCACTGCTTCCACACAGAGAGCCAGGCTCCTCCTCTGCGGAGAGACCACTGCTTCCACACACAGAGCAAGGCTCCTCCTCTGCAGAGAGACCACTGCTTCCACACACAGAGCAAGGTTCCTCCTCTGCAGAGAGACCACTGCTTCCACACACAGAGCAAGGTTCCTCCTCTGCAGAGAGACCACTGCTTCCACACACAGAGCAAGGTTCCTCCTCTGCAGAGAGACCACTGCTTCCACACACAGAGCAAGGTTCCTCCTCTGCAGAGAGACCACTGCTTCCACACACAGAGCAAGGTTCCTCCTCTGCAGAGAGACCACTGCTTCCACACACAGAGCAAGGTTCCTCCTCTGCAGAGAGACCACTGCTTCCACACACAGAGCAAGGTTCCTCCTCTGCAGAGAGACCACTGCTTCCACACACAGAGCAAGGTTCCTCCTCTGCAGAGAGACCACTGCTTCCACACACAGAGCAAGGTTCCTCCTCTGCAGAGAGACCACTGCTTCCACACACAGAGCAAGGTTCCTCCTCTGCAGAGAGACCACTGCTTCCACACACAGAGCAAGGTTCCTCCTCTGCAGAGAGACCACTGCTTCCACACACAGAGCAAGGTTCCTCCTCTGCAGAGAGACCACTGCTTCCACACACAGAGCAAGGTTCCTCCTCTGCAGAGAGACCACTGCTTCCACACACAGAGCAAGGTTCCTCCTCTGCAGAGAGACCACTGCTTCCACACACAGAGCAAGGTTCCTCCTCTGCAGAGAGACCACTGCTTCCACACACAGAGCAAGGTTCCTCCTCTGCAGAGAGACCACTGCTTCCACACACAGAGCAAGGTTCCTCCTCTGCAGAGAGACCACTGCTTCCACACACAGAGCAAGGTTCCTCCTCTGCAGAGAGACCACTGCTTCCACACACAGAGCAAGGTTCCTCCTCTGCAGAGAGACCACTGCTTCCACACACAGAGCAAGGTTCCTCCTCTGCAGAGAGACCACTGCTTCCACACACAGAGCAAGGTTCCTCCTCTGCAGAGAGACCACTGCTTCCACACACAGAGCAAGGTTCCTCCTCTGCAGAGAGACCACTGCTTCCACACACAGAGCCGTGCTCCTCCTCTGCAGAGAGACCACTGCTTCCACACACAGAGCAAGGCTCCTCCTCTGCGGAGAGACCACTGCTTCCACACACAGAGCAAGGCTCCTCCTCTGCAGAGAGACCACTGCTTCCACACAGAGCAAGGCTCCTCCTCTGCAGAGAGGCCACTGCTTCCACAGAGAGCAAGGCTCCTCCTCTGCAGAGAGGCCACTGCTTCCACACAGAGCAAGGTTCCTCCTCTGCAGAGAGGCCACTGCTTCCACACAGAGCAAGGTTCCTCCTCTGCAGAGAGGCCACTGCTTCCACACAGAGCAAGGTTCCTCCTCTACAGAGAGACCACTGCTTCCATATAGAGAGCAAGGCTCCTCCTCTGCAGAGAGGCCACTGCTTCCACACACAGAGCAAGGCTCCTCCTCTGCAGAGAGACCACTGCTTCCATATAGAGAGCAAGGCTCCTCCTCTGCAGAGAGACCACTGCTTCCACACACAGAGCAAGGATCCTCCTCTGCAGAGAGACCACTGCTTCCACACACAGAGCAAGGTTCCTCCTCTGCAGAGAGACCACTGCTTCCACACACAGAGCCGTGCTCCTCCTCTGCAGAGAGACCACTGCTTCCACACACAGAGCAAGGCTCCTCCTCTGCAGAGAGACCACTGCTTCCACACACGGAGCAAGGCTCCTCCTCTGCAGAGAGACCACTGCTTCCACACAGAGAGCAAGGCTCCTCCTCTGCAGAGAGACCACTGCTTCCACACACAGAGCAAGGCTCCTCCTCTGCAGAGAGACCACTGCTTCCACACAGAGCGCAAGGCTCCTCCTTATGCTTTTACACACCTGAAATGCATTCAGAGGGTTTAAACGTCGCTCTCCTGCAGTCTCCGCCCCTTTTTTTCTGTTGCTATGGATCGGTAGTTCTGATAGGTTGACAGGTTCTCTGTATTCCATGTTACAGGAAGTGAAGGTCTGCGCTCTGTACCGGGAGGAAGAGGATGTGAAGTGCGTCAGCCTGTCCAAGGTAACGTACGACGGCGGCTGCAGCTTTTATCATAAACACCCCATCAGTCTGCTGCAGGCAGGAGGAAGCATTTCATCCGTCTCCCCTCCCCCGGTGATCAGTCTGCTGCAGGCAGGAGGAAGCATTTTCTCAGTCTCCCCTCCCCCCAGTGATCAGTCTGCTGCAGGCAGGAGGAAGGATTTCCTCAGCCTCCCCTCCAGTGATCAGTCTGCTGCAGGCAGGAGGAAGCATTTCCTCAGACTCCCCTCCCCCCAGTGATCAGTCTGCTGCAGGCAGGAGGAAGCATTTCCTCAGTCTCCCCTCC